TCTAGTTCCCTTCTCTACTTTTTGGGAGACAAAGCTGTCTGCTAGGTTTGCCAGGAACCTGTTTGATCTTCCACTTGGTCTAGAGTTTGTCTCTCAGTTGATGTCAGGGTAGTTAAAGTCCCCCATTACTATTGTGATGTGCTTCCTACATACCTGAGTTAGCTGATTAGCAAAAAGTTCATCTATTTCCTCTGTTTGGTTGGGTGGTCTGTAGTATACACCTATGGCAATGTCATTTCCCCCTTTTATATTGCCTCAAATGCATTCAAGACAGTTTTTATCATTGTTGTGCTCTATTTCTATAGAGATGTAGTTATTTCTTATATAGAGAGCAACTCCACTTCCTCTTTTATTTGGTCTGTTTCTTTTAAATAATTTAAATCCATCTAACTGTGTGTTCCATTTGTGGGTTTCATCCCACCACGTTTCCGTAATGGCAACAATATCATATCTGCCCTCATTAACCTGAATTTCTAGTTCATCCTGTTTGCTGTTCATACTCTGTGCATTGGTGTATAGACATTTGAGTCCTTTGTGACTGGCCCTGTGTTTACTTTCTACATGACCTGTGTGATGCCTGAGTTCCCCTATTGTCTTACCACCTATTTCATTAGTGCACTTTGTGTGGCACTCGCTATTAGAGGCTTGATTTTGCTTGACAGCAAGGTTGGTATTCACCCATCTATGTTACATGCACACATCTATGTTACATGCACTGATATCCCTATAATTTTTAGATTGCCGGGGACAGGGTTGTTCTGTATCAATTAACTCACTGTCCCCGCTATTTAGTTTAAAATTTCCTCCAGAAAATCTGTGAATTTATAGCCGAGTAACGCAGTCCCTTTCTTTGATGGATACAAACCATCTCTTTTGTACATCTTTTCATTGGACCAGCTACAGACATCGTGACTAATATATCCAAAGCCTTTCCCTTTACACCACTCCTTTAGCCACATATTGAATTGTGCTATGCGCTTGCCTTTTCCATTTTGCTCCTTATACACTGGTAAAACCTCTGAGAAATTATCAAACCATGTATTAATATTAACCGCCCAGATAGACTATTGCTATGTGCTGTACACTTGAACTGTATTCAGAAGCTTTAATTTATATAAAATACAGTGGCACAGGCAAATTATGTGTGTTCCTGGAATAGTCCAGGTCCAAGGATACCAGTTTTGATCTTTCTGGGACTAGTTTATTTGAGGAACCTTCTTTTCCTGATTACATTTGTCCATCCCGTTGGCTCTGTGAGAAAAGATATGCTGCAGGTTCTGTCCATTAAGGAGTTGAATCTGGCAGACCTAGGACACAGGTCTTTTCTGCTATATGAAACATCATTCCCTTGAGATGAGGCTAGCTCCATCTTTGCTAACTTTCTGAATATTGCTCAAAACATAACTGTATCAAAAGGCTTGAGGATATCAGGAAATAGTGAATCAATGAGATAGCTATATTGTCTGTTATACTGAAGATGCTGTTTTCTTATCTTTCAATAATAATGTTTTTTTAAAAAAAATACAGAATATTTTTAACGTTTCTTTTCCATGGTTGTTTTTAATATATGTTCCCCAGAATGGGATGGGCAGCCATAAAAATATGATAAATGAATGAAGGAATGAAGGAATGAACGAACAAATGAATGAATGAATGAATGAATGCTAGATAAATAATAAATATAACCCACTTTGATAAGCACTTCAGAACATAACCTATTTTAGGCTGAAATGTTGGTTCTTTTTTAAAAAATTGGCTGAATTATTTTTTTCTTTTAATAATGTGTACATTTTCACTTACTGAATAAAAATGACACACTAGCTTAAAAAATAAATTCACAAGTCTGATTATACACAATATTAATGTTCCCTACTTTTTGTTTTTTTCAGGTCCAAGTGCATTGGATAATATTGTGGAAGATGTTACACATCCCTGTAACCCAAATCCCTGTGCTGCAAATCAATTGTGTGAAGTAAATAGAAAAGGATGTCAGCCTCTCGAACCTTGTCTTCCTTATTTTTGTATACAGGGTAAGGCTTTTTAAAGTCTAAACAAATGCCATAGGATTCCTAATAACTTAACACTTGCCTTCTTGTCATTGAAAATATCTTTCTTCAAAGGGACTGCTATTTCAGAATATAATTTCAAAATTGGAATGTTAATTGTTATTACTATTTATTGATTAGGAAATGTGTATATTGCTTTTCTTTTGTTTAAAACTTCATATAGTTTGCAATAATATAAAAATAGATTAATATTAATATTAATATAATTACATATCAAATACTGTTAATCTCAGCTGGCAAAAATGGAGCAAATGAGACTTCACAACTTGACAGTTGTTAATAGAAAGATCCCACAGTTCCATTTAACATTTTTGAAATCAGCCATGGTATATACTACAAGCCACCCAACTGATTCAGGCAAGACTAGCCACTCTGAGACAATCAACAAAATGAGAAACTCCAACCAAAGAAAGAAGACTGTATCCAAACTGAACACAATAAGAAACAAACAACTGCCAAACTATCAGATGAATCTTTAAAGATAGACGGATGGCAACATGTCCCTCAGGAAACAACAACAACAATCAAGAATAATATTCCTGCTGCTTACTGCAATCCAATCCTGCTGGAGCTGAGCAATCAACTTCATATGTTACTCCTGGAACAAATCATGTAGACATCTAGAGAAGGGACATCATCATGTGCTCCAGTGATAGGAAGAAAAGTAGCCCAGATGTTGGTAAATAAAGATTCACTTCTCTAACAAAAGTTGAAAAATTGCTGAATGGAATCAGCAATTTGTATACCGGACAATCAATGTAGGGAAGCATGTTGTCTCCCTTGAGCAGATCAAAGGTATGACAGAGACTTATTAAAATAATCAAGCCCACAGATTATTATACCTTCCTCCTCTTCCATACAGGGACAAATGATATGACAATGAAACTGAAAACAATTTCAAGAGACATTTTATGCACCTTGGCATAAAAACCAAGAAGTTAGGAGCATAAGTGTTGTTTTCATCTGTACTTCCAACAGAAGGTCAACATCCAATGAGGGAAAAGAAGATTTTAGAAAACCACTGACTTAAGGGATGGTGCCTTTGAGAGAACTTTGGATTCCTAGGCCATGGTCTACATTACCTACATGAAGGGCTTCTGGCAGGAGATAGGCTACACCTCACAATAATTGGCAAAAGTATTTAGAAAATGACTGGCTGAGCTTATCCAAAGGGCTTTAAACTAAAACTGGAAAGGGAGGGTGACCAATCTTTAGGAACTTTAGAACCTAATTTCAAGCATAAACCCCAAGCAACCAATCAAACAAGGAGATAGGAAGTGCTGAGAAGTAAGGGGAACTCAGATATAAAATAGGAGATGAAAGAAGCAAATGCAGGGTCAGCCATAAAGGGCTTGGATGTCTATATACTAATGCTGAAAGTATGACATTGCCGTGGATATATACTACAGGCCACTCAATCATGCAGAGGAAATAGATGAACATTTTGCAAATCAATTAACTCGAATGTGCAGGAAACCCACCACAGTAGTAATGGGGGACTTTAACTGACCTGAAATCCACTGGGAGACAAATTGTGCATCAAGTGAGAGATTGAACAGCTTACTAACCAATTTAGCTGACAACTTTGTCACCCAAAAGGTACAGGAGGGTACTAGAGGGACATCTCTAGGGACACTGGACTTAATCCTTACTAAGAGAGTTGAAATGATACGGGTTGAAGTTTGGGAGAGAGTAACCATGCCATACATACTGTAATTCAGGCACATATAATCAAATAAAGTCAAGCTATGATCTTAGACTTAAGAAATCTGACTTTAGCAAACTAAGAGTTTAGGAAGGAATCTATAGATGGAAATCTTAAATCTTAAAGGGGAAAACAGCTCAAGAATTGAAGAAGCTTCTTGGATAAGAAGTGAAATGTCTTCAGGAAAAACAAAGTTCAGTTGTTTTTTGAAAAAGCACTTCGGGACAACTCAAGATACTTGGGAAAATCTGAAAAAATGAGATAACAGCCTGATCTAACATAGTACCACAGAGAAAGAAAACAGGAGGCCCCAGATAAAGCCAGCGTGATTGCATAAAGTATCTCTGACAAGTTGAGAGAAAAAGAGGACAAGTATTTTAAATGGAAAGAAGGATGCCAGCAAAATGTGCGAATCAGCAAGGACAAAGGCAAGAATGCTAAGGGCTAGAGTGAATTAAGACTTGTAACAAATGCTAACAATAATTTTTAAAAAGTTTAACCATATAAGAAACAAAAAAAAATCAAAGAAACCATCAATCTACTGATGGGAGAAGATACCAAGGAGGTGACAGGCACCAAGGAGAAAGCAGAATTGCTTAATTCATTCTTTGAATCTGCTTTCACCAAAAGGAAAAACAGTCCAGCCAATTAGAAGTGGCATGTAGGATACAGAATAGCAATGCAAGTCAAAATAAGAAAGAAAATTGTTAGAGAATTCCTATTCAGTCCAGAAGAGTTCAAATTGCCAGAACCAGATGGATTACATCCCAGAATTTTGAAGGAATTGGCAGATGTGGTCTTGAAACTATTGAACAAAATTTTTCGAAGTTCCTGGAGAACCAGAGAAATACTAAAGGACTGGAAAAGAGCTGACATGCTTCCAATCTTCAAAAAAAGGAAAACAAATGGATCCAGGAAATTACAGGCCAGTCAGCCTGATATCAATACCTGGGAAAACCCTAGAAAAGGTAATGAAACACAGGATTTTTAAGTACCTAGAAATGAACAAGGTGATTACTAGAAGCCAGCATGGATTTGGTTAAAAACAAATCATGCCAGACTGACCTTATTGCCTTCTTTGACAAAGTGACTAGTTGATGAGGGAAATGCTGTGAACACAGTTTACTTAGACTTTAGTAAGGCACTTGATAAAAAAGATCACAGCCTCCTTTTTGATAAGATAAAACAATGTGAAATAGATAGTACCACCACCAGATGGGTTTGCAACTGATTGATCGTTCACACTTAGTGAGAAGTCCACAATGGAACTACTTCTACATGGAGGGAAGCTTGCAGTGGGATAGCTCAAGGGTTTGTTTTAGGCCCAGTACTCTTCAATATCTTTATAAACAATTTAGATGAGGGAATAGAAGGGAAATTTGCAAAAAACACCAAGTTGGGGGAAATTGCTAACACTTTGGAGGGTAGACTCAAGACACAGAGTACCTTGACAGATTTGAACACTGGGCCCTATACAACAAATGCAATTCAGTTGTGAGAAAAATAAGATCCTATATATAGGCAAGAAAAACCAAATGCACAGTTATAGAAAATATGATATCTGGTTCAACAGTAGCAATTATGAGAGGAATCTAGGTGTAAGGCTCCACTTCAACCCACATCTTAAGAAAGCAGAACTCTTGGAAACATCTCTTCCAACAGGAACTTTTATTAAGAGTAGTTGATAGCAGGCATAATAGACAGGATGTGAGGGATTCCCTTACAGATTGATTTTAAATTGTCCCTAAGCACCCCACTCCACAGTTCTTCTGGGCAATTCAGACCAGCAAATTCCTAGGTGTTAAATCCAGGAAAGATAACATCAATCCAGCTCCATTGTGCACGATCATTCAACAGCACTTCACACCTTATTTTGATGACAGAGAAATAAGCCATATCCTGGAGATCTGTATCTTTTCACCCCCCTTTTCCTAGCTGCCCGGTAAGGAGGAGAAGTTCAGAGGGGGCCTAGGATAAGAGGCAAATTGTTACATTGTAATGGTTAGCAGACACGAAGGTCAATAAACAAAAGGTTACTTTGTAGTAAATAGAGGAAGTGAAAGTAATAAACCTGCATGCATATCCCCTCTCCCCCTTGGGAGTATGGCAGGATCCAGGAAAGGGTAAGAATTGGTTTTAGATCAGAGAAGAAAGGAAATATAACTGGATTCTGACATCCTGCCCCCCCCCTTAAAAATAAGAGAGCTCAACCTGTAGAAAAAACAAAACGGGTATAAAAGTTAGTCTGGCTTGTTGGGATACTCTGTATGAAACTTCTTTAACAGTTTTGTGGCTCTGACATGACGTTTATGGACCCACTCATTTTGTGAGGAGGGGAGGTGTTTCCATGCTAGGTATTGAGTTGTCCCATGATACCTCCTAGAGCAGGGCTTTTCAGCCTTTTCACCCATTGTACCACTTTTAGGATATGGGAATATCTGAGTACCACCAGTCGCCTAGCAAGGTGTCAAAAATTTGATGACCCCCCAAAAAAGGAAAAAAGTGATAAAGTACAGGTAGTCCTTGACTTACAACAGTTCGCTTAGTGACTGTTTGAAGTTACAATGGCACTGAAATAAGTGCCCCCCCAGCCACAGCCGAGCAAGACGCCTGCGCTCTTCCTCCTGTCCGAGGTTTTCATTGTTGTGAGCATATCTGTTGAGGATTGGCAGTGAGGGTGGGGTGGGGGATGTTTGGTCTTTATTCCCCCTGCCTGCTGGGTGGTTGCAGCAGATTTTGGACACTTCACATGATCCTGGGACACTGTGACCAATCAATTGCTCACAACAATGAAAACCTCGGACAGGAGGAAGAGCGCTGCTGGGTGGGCAGGCAGGTGTCTTGCTCGGCTGTGCTGGGAGGGACACTTATTTCAGTGCCATTGTAACTTCAAACAGTCACTAAGCGAACTGTTGTAAGTCGAGGATTACCTGTACTTTATCACTTTTTTCTTTTTTTCTTTTTTGGTCATCAAGTTTTTGATACCTTGCTAGGCGACTGGTGGTACTCGGATATTGCCATATCCTAAAAGTGGTACAATGGGTGAAAAGATTGAAAAGCCCTGGTCTATTTTTTTCTGGTGGAATTCACATTTCGATAATTTGGCATATAGGTGGGCAGCTCGCAGTTTCATTAAAACCGCTTTGACTAGGTTGACATGTTCCTTTTTGGATTCGGTGCAGATAAGGATGTCATCTAAATAAACCAGGACCACCTTAAATAGGTGTTCCCTTGGTACCTCATTGATTAATTGCATAAA